CCTGATGAGTTTGTTTTAAATAAACGAAGTACCGTTGAAAAATCCATTTATATATGGATCATTTGCAATTTGCGTAGGAAGGTTTGTTATTCGATTCAATGTGTCTTCATTATTGATGAATTGAACATTGGTATTTCGGTGTATTCTATACCGATTTCGTCCTCTTCTTTGAACCATACGTCTTGGAGATCGTGCCCTAAAGATTCCATTGAGAACAAAAATGTTCAAAGGCCTGTCCGATAACATTTTCGTTTATTATATTTTAGTTATTTTTGTTGATGATGATAATAATATTGATGATAAAAAGCAATTTTTTTTCGATCCAACGTACTTAAATCGGTATTTATATCATAAGCGTAGCGGTATTTGTTAATATAATTCGAAAAAAAAAAATTGTTTACGCAGCTTGATTAATTTCGGCTAATTATTAATCCTTATCGTCAGATGGCATTTTTTTTTTTTTTATTTTTATTTTTTTTTGTTTGGTTGTTGCCGAAGGATCGTCGGCACTAAAATTTGTCATGTGTGCTATTATGAATTAACAAAGTTAGGTTAGTCGTTCGATAGACGGTCGCATGGATTGAGACATTTCATTTGCTGAATGCATCCACATGATTATTCTTTCAAAAGCAGAAAGTGAATTACCCATTTTTAATAAAATATTGATCCAATTGATGATCTTGCATTATTAATTTATATTTATTTATAAAGAAAAAAGAAAATGCATGCGATGACTAATCGTTCAATCATTGTTCTTCCGAATTATTAAATAAAATATTGGCGCAGATCAATAGATAGAAATTTTAATTCATTTAATAAAATTTTCGAAGTTCGTAACCGCAGATCAAATCGAAATTCTATAGATATGCGAAATTTAGTCTGGGTATATATATAGCAATTATGTAACGGTACGGATTTTATGTATGGAATGTATGGTTTGTCAGATAAATTCCATACATGTATGGATTTTTCTAAATTTCGTCGCAGCTATTTCATTTCATTTTACCAGAATTTGGTAATTTTATATAAAATAACTTTGCATCAAAATAAACCAATCATCCAAATTTTATCTATTAAAAAGTAATTAACCGAATAAGAAAGTTTTTAAATTATTTAATTCGGTCAATTCTATTTAATATATGTATGTAAAAAGACTAATTAATTTTTACTTTTTATTGCATAATAAAGTAAGTTACTATTTTATAAACTTTATGTCTGATTTTAAATATTTTTATAATATAATGTATAAATCAAAACTACTGCAAATGCGACTTAATTTTTTTCTTTGAGTTTTTAATTATTGCAAAGCAAACCCGCCTATTTTTTAAGATATTGAAACTGTATTTGACGATGAAATTAATCTAAATATATAAATATTCAATACCGGTATGGATTTGAAAATTGAAATTTCCATACCGCCATATATGATTTATTAACACCTTTCTA